ATATTTGCATATTTTAAACTTTAGATAAATAGTATTGTGTTGGATATGCTCTTCAGCAATTTTTCCCTCCTCAGCATCACACCTGTGAGATCCACCCAGGTCAATACAGATAACTGTAGTTTGTTTGGTTTTGCTTCTCTGTGTTTCCCTTTCATTCTTCAACCCAGTGCAATCTTGCTTCTGCCCTCCCACGGCTTACTGCAACTGTTCTTGTCAAGGTCGCTAATGACTCCCATGTTACCAAACCCAAGGGACACTTATCTTACTGTTCCTCTCGCTGGCTTTGGATTCTTCTGACCATTCTTCCTTCCTCATTCATCACTGCTTTCAGGACACTATGATCCCAGGGTTTCCCTCTGTCCTCTCCTTCTCAGTCTCCCTTGTTGGCCTCCTTCCTCAGCCTGGTCCTTGGTGTGTGGCAATCCTTGGGCTCAGTCCTAAACCTTCTTCACTTTCCTTTATAAACCTTGGCTTTGATTTTATCCTTATACTTCTGTTTTTGGAATCTAATGCTGTATAATAAGCAACTTCAAACTCAGTGGCTTAAAACAACAACCATTTCATAATTTCTCAAGATTCTCTGGGTTGACTAGGGCTGAGCTGGAAAGTTTTGTTGATCTCACTTGGGGTCTCTTATGTGGCCGCAGTCAGAGCAGGTAAGTAGGGGGAATGGGCTGAAATGTTCAAGATGGCTACCTCATATGTCTGGTGGCCTGGTGGGAACAGCAGAAACGCTGGGACAGCTGGATCTCTCTCTCTCCGTGTAGTCGCAAAGCCTCTCCCTCCAGTTGATCTCTGCAGCAGAGTAACCATTTTCTTACACGCGAGCCTACACATACCCATTGCTGTCATGTCGATTCCAACTCATAGCAAACCTCTAGGACAGAGCAGAACTGCCCCATATGATTTCCAATGTGATCTTTACAGAAGCACACTGCCGCATCTTTCTTCCGCAGAGTGGCTGGTGGGTTCGAACTGCTGACTTTTCGGTTAGCAGCCTAGTGCTTAACCACTGCTCCACCAGGGCTCTTCATGGCAGCCTAAACCAAAACCAAACCAAACCCATTGCAGTCGAGTCAATTTTGACTCATAGTGACCCTATAGGACAGAGCAGAACTGCCCCATAGGGTTTCCAGGGAGCCACTGGTGGATTCAAACTGCCAATCTTTTGGACAGCAGTCCAATGCTTAACCACTACGCCACCAGGGCTCCTGTGGGAGCCTAGGGGACCCCAAAACACAAGTGGAATCTTCCAGATTTTCTTAAGGCTTAGGTCTGGACCTGGTACAGCTCCATTTCTGCTTCATTCCATTGGTTAAATCGAGTTACAGGCCAGCCCAAATTAATGAAGACCAGGAGCCCTGGTTTGCTAGGGGCCATCTTTGGAGCCTAGCTACCACAGATTGTGATCTCCAAATCTCTAGAATTGCTGTCCTAAATTCTAGACTCAAACATACCATGGAATACTGGATCTCATTTATTGGGTGTTCCACCAGGCTCCTCAGTCTTCTTCACCACCCCAGCCTTTCCTTTTCTTCTTTGACTCTCGCCTCATTTCCACACTAGAGTTCAAGATAGAAACTTAGGGATCATCTTTGGCTTCTCCCTCTCTTCAGCCTCCATATTCCGTCTCTTAAATATCTCTAGAATTACTTCTCTCCATCCCCACTGCTAACACCCTAATAATGATTATGGCTAACATTAGCAAGCACTTTCCATGTGTGTAAACACTTCCAATGCATTCCATTTAATCTTATCTAAATTTTGCACATGGGGATCCTGAGGCCAGTAGAAGTTGTATAAGTTGTTCAAGGTCTCACCCTATTCAGGAGTACAGAGAACCAAGACTCCAGGCAGCCCTGCCTCCAAAGCCTTTGTGCTCCGCCAGCGGCCAGCTGCCACTCAGTTCAGGCACCTGTCATCTCTCACCTGGACTGCCACAGCGGCTTTCCAGCTGGTTTCATCTTCCCAACTTTATCTCATCTAATCTGTCTTCCACGCTGCAATCAGAGACGTATTTCTAGAATGCAAAAGTGAGTGATAGAACTTCTCTGCTTAAACCTTTCAACAATTCCTTCTCACTGTCAAGATAAACTCTAACCTTTTCAATAAAGTCCTTCGCAATTTGACTCATGTCAACTTGATAGTGTAGCAAGGGACAGTGGTTCTCCATGGGGGCACTTTGGAAATTTGTGGAGCCCTTTTTGTTTATTACAATGATTAGGACATGCTACTTGCATTTGGTGGGCAGGGGCCAGGGATGCTAGAGTCCTGCAATGCAAGGGATGGTTCCCGCAACCAAGGAGTATCCTGGGTTCCACAAGACTTTTGAATGTCCTGCTGGATATTCTATGTGAAAAAAATCTCTAATTACTTGAGCCTAGAATCTATCTCCATTAACCCTACACCCAAGGAAGGAGGGGACTGTTGAGGAGGTTCTGTGGTACGTTTCCTTTTTCCACGAGACACTGACAAAAGCTCCTGTTCACCTAGTTAAGCAAGTGCCCTCAGAGCAAAAACCTGCTTCAGTGTTCCACTTACCTCTCTGCCTTCATTTACTTTGTTTTGCCTTGAAAATTGCTTACCTTTTTAGCAGCTCATCAACGTATTTAAAATTTTTAAAAATATCTTATCCAGGATTTTTAGTTGTTTTCAAGGAGAGGGTCTTCCAGGTGCTTAGCCTGTCATATAACGAGAAAAGGAAACTACAAACACAAAATTGTTTTGCATGTAATTTGCATAGAACCTTTCTTTTCCAGGAATGCAGCTACTTTGTAAACTGTTTTGTATTGTTCAGAACTTTACCAAAAGTTGTTCACCATTTTGGAAAATTACATCACTAATGACAACAGTGCCCAATACAACATTGTTAGATCAATCTGCATTTGTACCTGTCGCTTTCTTAGTGACTCTGAGGGCAAGCATCTGACCACTTTGCTATATCTTCCATCGTGGGCAGGGAATGCCTTCTGAGGAGGGGACATTTGAGCGAGGCCTGAAAAAATGAGGATGAGGCAGAGAACAGCCAGTACATAGGTTCTGAGGTGGGAACCGCTTGGTGTATTGCAGTGATAGAAAGCAGGTCTGCACAGTGTGTAGTGAGTGAGGAGGGGACAGGTAGGAGATGCGGTTGAAGAGCTGGGAGGCTCTGGTAAGGAGTTTAGATCTACGATGTCTCTGGCCTAATCACAACACGTTTAGGCGTGTGAGACTACATACCTGAAAATCTTTACCTTTGCCCCCACAGATTCCTATGCCTACAATGTGTTCCCTGTCTTCTCTGATTAGTGATAAAATTCTACTCATCCTTTAAGGCCAAGTTCAAAACCATTTATGAAATCTTATCCCATTCTTTAGCAAGAATTAATCAGTCCCTTGTCTGATGCCTCCCAGCAAGTATGTTCCCATGGCACTAATCACATGCTGACTAGTATCTCAGCTAGCTGTTTACATGCCAGTCTGCCTACCATACACGGAGTTCCTGATGGGCAGAGGCTGGTCTTAGTCACCCTAGTAGGCATCTCTTGGTGCCTAGGCCAGTACCTGGCCCACAGCAGGTACTCAATCAATGCAATGAAGGCTGTGACATTCACTTGACGAACTGGGTGGTACCCAGCACTACTCATGGCAGAACAGAAGGAAAACAAAAATAAGAACAACTTATGGTTTATCACTTGCGCTTCCCTACCCATTATCTGATTTGCGCCTTCCAACAAAACTATGAGGGAGACGGGGTAGACACTATTAGCTCCATTTTACACATAGGGAAGCTGAGGCCCAAGGCCACACAGCTAGCAAGTAGTGGGGCCTAACTCCCAATCTTGTCCTCTTACTTAGGATTCAGTGCTAGGAAGGATGATAGAGAGACCCGAAGAAGAGCATTTTGTGGATATAAAACAATGAGGTTGGTTGCAGTTTGTGGATTAGGGGGAGATCCTTAGTCAGCTGGGACAGAGTTAACGGCAGCCCTGCCAGGCAAGGCACAGCATTCCTCCCCCCCCCACGCCCATGCAGCATCACACCCCCCCTCCCCACCCCTCATCCCCCAACCCTGAACGCTGGGGAACCCCTGGCCCACGAAGATGAGTATTCTGGTCAGGTGATTAAGATGACGTAAACGATGACTTGTTGCGCGGGGGAGGTGGAATCCTGCCTGTTGATATGACAACTGGAGTTTAACTACTGGGTCCTTACAAGGTTGGCTGAGACAGGTTCTTCGTTAACTCGGGATTAGGGAGGGGGCGCGGGGGAGTGCGGTGGAATAAAGACGTAGAAGAGGTGTACTCAAGAAAGACTTTAGCTCAGTGGTTCTCCACCTTTGCAACACGTTAGAATCACCTGCACAATTTTCAAAGTTCCAATGCCTAATCCACGGTCTAGAACAATAAATCAGAATCTCTGGGGGTGGAACTAGGCATCAGTATTTAGGTAAAGTTTCCCAGCTGATTCCAATTGCAGTCAAAGCTGCAAACCCTCCTTCCAGTTGGTAAACGAAATTTTTTTGTGACCTTCTCAAGATGGCGGCCGACCAACGCGCTTCCGCCTTTACGTGAGCCGGCAGGGGCGGGCCTTCCAGGGGCGCATGCGTATAGCATCTCCCCGCTCCCTGCTCCCCTCCTCCTTTTTCCCCCGCCTCCATTTTGTTCGCGGACGCTGGGGACGGTGGGAGCAGATCCATTTCCGGGTTGCAAAAGGGGCGGCGGCGGCTAGAAAGGGAGCTTGCTGCGGGGCGACCGGGACGGGACGAAGCCAGAGCGGAGGTGGCGGAGGATTCGCTCTTGGAGCAAGTGCGGCCAGGTTAGAAAGAGTCCGGGGCGGCTGGGTCAGTCGCTGAGGTGACCTGCAGACCTAAGTGTGAGGAAGAGCCGGGGAGTGGGGACTGGGGCGGGGCTTGAGGAGATAGGGGGGCAATGGAGGAGGGGCCTGAGGGGGAGAGGGGTCCTGAGGGCGGGGCCTGAGGCGAAGGGGCCTAGGGGCTGGGTCTGAAGAACCTGGAGGAGAGGGGGCGTGTGGAATCTAAGTAGGGAGGAGTGGTCGAGAATGGGTGTGGGGCGAGCGCAGACTGTGAAAATGGAGAGGAAGGCTACTGAGAGACAGGAAATAAGGGATCCTGAAGGGTTTGGTAATGTGAGTAAGACAGGAACTCTGGGTGAGGAACGAGGTAACCGTACGCGAAAAGAGAAATGGGGAGGGAGGACCTGTAGGGAACAGGTAATTAGCAGGATGCTGTGGGTGAGGAGGCCAGTGTGACTTTTGGGGGGTTGAGTTGGGTGAAAGTCAATGGTTGGGAGGATGACTCGGGAAACTGCTTACACTAGAGGGAATCTTAAGAGCGTTAGTTGAGAAAGAATCAGAATTGAGTTGAAGGTTGGATTGAGAACTGTTGAGATGCGCACGGGTGCATCTAGAATTGAGGGTTCATGTTGGAGTGGGGGGAGGTGGTGAAGTGAAGTGAGGGAGGAAGGAAATCAAAGTGTTGGAAGTGGGCAGTGTGTGTGGTTGCGTTGCTGATCAGAAAGAAACATTCTGAAAGGATAACACTGGGGTAAGAACCTGGCAGAAGTTGATATATGCAGGAATTCATAATTTTAAGGGGATTTGAATGATCTTACTATTTTGTCCTCCCCCGAGGCCCACCCCCCTTTTTTCTTGCTGTAATTTTTGCCTTACAGTTTTGGTTTCTGAATGACTTACTGAATGTTTTTGGAGACATATTTTTTTTTTTTTTTTTTTAACTCCGTTTACAAACCAGAAGAGAACCCCAGGGAATAAGGGCTGTTCCTAGCCCACCTATTGATTTACTGAGTAACTTTGAGTCAAATCATTAATCTAAGTGTCTCATCACCCCACCCCCTTTGAAATATAGGTCTGGTTCCTCCTTGCCTCTAAAAGATTATGTTTACCAAATGAGAATCTTTAAAGTCATTGCAAAAAAAATGTGATTTGCGAACACAACCTTGAGATATTGATATTTAGGAGACATGTCCTTCTCAGTTTCTTCCTCAGCATACGCTGCATTTTTATGTGCCAGGGAAGAGTTGATTTTTAAATTCTCCTTTCTTAATGTTAATTTTTATCAGTCCAAATTTCATATTATTGTGTTGCATTGTATCGGCTACCATCAAAATGGAGATAGGGAGATTAGAGTTGAGGATGAATGAGGTCGGTTGGTGGGGACTGTGGGAATGCATTGTTTTATTTTCTAGTTGCCAAAGTATTTAACTCCTGGGCAAACATTGAATTTCTTCATGAGTCTTTGAGAGTTCAAGGATAAGTAGTATTTTAGCCAGTTGAGCTTTTTGCTTTGGTCCAATCACTTTAGGATAGCTTCCTGTTGGTGGGGACCAGTGTCATTGTGGACAATTTTAGCTTATTTAATGTTACTTCTTTGAAATCCTGACTGTTCTAGTTTTTTTTCTTTGGGCATAATGCTCTAAACACTTTGCCCATAGGTGAACTTGTTTAGCTTAGAAGATGTGTCCCTGGAAGTCTTGGCATTCTGAAGTCTGACGTGGATTTGCTTAAGAGGGGGCAGATTCTAGTTTTGCCTCACCTGATACAGAGTAGTGTTTACTCTAGTTGGTACTGATTAGTTATGTGACATCAGCACAAAGGTGAAATGCATGGGTGGATGGAAGGAATCGTGGAACAGTAGGGCTCTCAGGTTTTATTAATGGCATTGAAGCATGGAAGAGAGAAGTCTTTGTTCCTAATGAAGAGAAAATTGTCAGTTCTTTCTTGATTCTTTGGGCTGTCTGATGATGAGAGTGACGTAGGGTACTTGAGTCTGTTTTCCTAGCAATCTGAAGTAATTCTGAAATTTGTGAACTGCTGGTTCAGGCTCCTTCAGCAAACCATAGTCTTTATGCTAACCCCAGGATGAGCTGGGGTTATATGAATATATATATATATGAAGTATATATATATATTTGGAGTAAAAACCTGCTTAATATACTGTCATTTCAACCTACGGTGTATATTTTCAGTTTGTTATTTGAGATAAGTTATGGAGGCTCAGAGCTCTGGGCAAGCTTTTTGCATAGGCTTCTGCTTTAACAGAATGATTTTCTATTTTTCCTGTCCTGTCAAGTTTTTCTGTTGAACCACTTCTAAGTGGAAAATAGCAAATTACACATTTTTTTCCCTCCTTTTTAGTCTCTGGTGGACATCTTGTCTGTGTCACAGTTTGATACCACCAAATGAAAGGATTCTTGACTGCTCCAAATGGAGAAAGTGGCAGAAGCTGAGCTGAGTTTCCTGGGCCAGAGAATGGACTCTGTCAAAGCAAAGAATAGTTGCAGAGACACACAACCGGGACCTTGAAGCTGTGACTAACATTTTGGCCACATGCATCCCTTTGCCAAATAACCTCTTTTTTTCTTGAGTGTGATTGTTAATCTCCTTCTCAAAGTAGGCTCTTGTTGCTATTGTTCTTCACACAACTCCCAAGCAGAAGTTGGCAGAGTTCCGGTTGACTGTCTCTTGAGAGATATTCCCCAGATTAGAGTAGATGCGACGTTCTGTGTCAAAATAAGGTTCACTGGCAGAGCCTGAGCTGCTCTGCAAGGAAATAGAGGCAGTATTCTTTACTGAATGTTCTTGCAATCCTTTATAGTTCTTCTAAAATCAAATTGGTTTCTTATTCATCTGGTGATTTAAATGCAGAATCAGTGTCTTTGACTGCACAGTTTGAATGTCCAGGGCACTGAGGAAGAGAGACTTAGTATTTCTGACAGCTTCCCCCCGCCCCCACTTTCACTCTCAAACTTCTGAGTCTGTGGAGCCACAGGCTAAACTTAAAATGAGGACTTCTTAATATGATCTATAGTGGGATATTAAAAAATGTTGAATAGAACTTTATGGGGGAAAAACAATATTAGTGGGAAAAAGTGATACATTTGCTGATGTCTCTGTCAGTCTTAGAGGGCAGTGGTGGTTCAGCAGTAGAATTCTCGCCTTCCTTGTGGGAGACTCGGGTTCGACTCCTGGCCAGTGTACCTCGAGCACAGCCACCATTGTCCATCAGTGGAGGCTTGTGTGTTGCTGTGATGCTGAATGGGTTTCAGTGGAGCTTCTAGAATAAGACAGACTAGGAAGAAAGACCTGGTGATCTACTTCTGAAAACCTTGTTGATTCCAACGGTCCAATCTTGTATATGGAATCACCATGAGTTGATGGCAGCTAACAACATGTTAGTCTTAGATCTCTTAATGTTTTACTTAGTAAGTACCGTTTTGTTTTTCAGAGGGTAATTAGTTGAAGATAACTATCTCCCATAAGTTTGGGGATGGATTTTGAAGGTCATTTTGTGCAAATTATGACGGTGGCCCTTGTAGCATTGGCAATAACCCCAAAATGAAGCCTCTCTTTGATGGCCCTGGATTCAGCTTTCTCTTGCCATCATTATTCTAAAGTATTCTGTTCCTGACATGTAGGTTTGAGAAACCAGCAGGTTCACATCTCAGAGGTTTTGACTCTGGTCCAGGGCTTTGATTGTGGCTGCAAACATGATTATTGGAGTTGTGTTTAAATCCAGTCCCAGATCTTTCTTTCCTGGAGAATATCTTGAATGCTTGGCAAATCTGTATATTTAAGGAATGTGTGTAGATTTCTTTACCATTCTTATAATTGGTTTAAAGTTTTTTTTTGTTTTTTTTTTTTTTTAGTTTCTTGAACTTCATGGATTCAGATTAAGCTCCATCTAGATTTAAAGTCCCTTAATGCATGTAGGAGCTCTGGTGGCACATTGGTTAATTCTTCGGCCCCTAACCAAAAGGTTAGCAGTTTGAATCCACCAGCTGCTCCTTAGAAACCCTATGGGGCAGTTCTTCTCTGTCTTATAGGCTCACTATGAGTTGGAATCAACTTGATGGCAATGCTTTTTTTTTTTTGTAACGAATGTAATTCCTGTTTTTAGTCAGTATTTATGATATTTCTTTGGTAGAAATTTACCGACCTACTTCCTGTGCTTATAGAAATGACTGAATCCAGTAATCCCTCTGACTGAAAACATTCTCCATATTTATTCGGAATGGGACAGTTACTTCTAAAAAATGGAATTTTCTTCTAAAGTGATACAATTTAATGTAAGCACGATATCTGAGATTTGTGGATAAGTGAGTTTTCCTTCTTTTTCCACTTTCGCCTTCCCGGTGCTCAGCCAGTAGACAGGATGTTTGTTGTCTAAGATCCAGGTATGAGATATTTAAACTATTTTTATCACTGTCTTAGAAATAAGGACAGGAGTGTTTTTAGCAAATTTTCTTTTTTGAATAGATAATACATATGGTTCAAAATTCAAAAGGTAAAAAAGGGTATATAGTGAATAGTCTACCATCTACCTTGTCTACCCATTTACCCAGTTCATCTTCCCAGAGGTAACTAGTATTATCAGTTTAAGATTTTTAAGATTCTTGCCAGAGATACCATGTACACTTAAAGCAAATATGTGTATTTCTTCTTTAAAAAAATAATTGTAGCGCACAGTTCATACTATTTTCATTTTTTCTTTTTCTTTTATTTAATATATTTTAACAGTCATTTTCTATCAGCGATAAAGAGATTTGGCACTGTATTTACCTGCCCAATACTGATGGACATTTAAACTGTTCCTAGTCTTTTACCATTACAAACTATGCTCCAGTGAATAGCCATGTATATTTGACCCTTTGTATGTGTAACTGTATCTGTAGGATAAATTCTTAGAATTGCTGAAGCTGGTGGGTTTTTGACCTTGTAATTCATTTATGTGCCAAGCATTGTGCTGGGTGCTGGAGATACACCAGTGAGCAAAACTCACTCAGTCCTTGTCCACATGGAAATTATGGTCCAGTGGGAAAGACTATTAAGCAAGTAATTGTTGCTTATGAATGCTGTGGGGACAGCTAACGGGAAGCTTAATGCAGGTTGATTGAGAGGGAGGACAGTCAGGGAAGGTCCCTGGGGAAGTAACTTTTAAGGCTGAAAGCTAAAGGATGAGTGGGAGGAGAAAAGACCATGCTAGGTGGAAGGAATGGCATAGGTGAAAGTCCTGAGGGAGGAAAAGAACCTGGGTATTTTGAGGAATTGACAGAGGTTCAAGGTTGTTTGGAGCTTGTTGTTGTGTGCCTTCAAGTCAATTTCAACTCATACTGACCCTTTATGACAGAGTAGAACTGCCCCATAGTGTTTTCTAGGCTGTCATCTTTATGAGAGCAGATCGCTAGGTCTTTTCTCCTGCAGAGCTGCTGGTG